ACCACTGATACTGCGGCTCTGGCCTCAGTGAAAGCGGAGCTACAGGAGAGACACATCTGCATTGACCTGGGTGAGTTGCAGAGCTATCTTGGCTTGCAGATCACACGAGACAGAGCATGCCGCACCATCATCCTCACTCAGTCACACATGGTGCAGCAGGTCCTTCAGGGCTTCAACTTCTCTTGATCCTCGCCATAGACCACTCCTCTTTCTACAGGCCACTCGCTCTCAGCTCCACCTTCGGACGAGTCCGTAGAGCCGAGTGGTCTGTACCCAAAGCTTGTTGGTTGCCTCAAGTACCTGATGACGTGCACACGACCTGACCTCGCATACCCTCTCAGCCTCTTGGCCCGCTATGTGCTCCCGGTGTGGGATGTTGCGAAGAGGGTACTGCGTTACTTGTGCAGTACATCGGGCATGAGGCTTGTGCTTGGAGGACAGGGTTTAGTTGTTCTTATCGGCCACTCCGACGCTTCTTTGGCTGACGACCAGACGACTCATCGGTCTACACAAGGGTACAGCTTCAGCCTAGGCGCTGGTTCTGTCTCGTGGAGGTCCACTCGCTCGTCTTCTGTACTTAGTTCCAGCTGTGAGGCCGAGATCTACGCTGGGGCTATGGCTACACAGGAGCTCCGCTAGCTGACCTACCTTATGAGCGGCCTCGTTCTCCTCCAGCTCTGTACGTCACAACAAGGCCATGATTGTCTTGTGTCAGGACTAGAGACTGGAGTACAGAACGAAGCACATTGGTCTCCGTTACTTCCTCACTCAAGAGTTGCAGCAGCGTGGTTAACTTCGTCTTGCTTACATGGCCACACTGGCCAACATTGCTGATGTCTTCACCAAGGCCCTTGGGTCTGGTGCTCATCAGCATTTCTGCACTGCTCTAGGCCTTGTGCCTACTCTGCCTCACCTGCTTGTCTCTTGATCTTGCCTTGCACTTGTTGCCTCACCTGCTTGTTATACCTGCATGTTTGCACATGCCAGGTTGTTATCAGTATACTGCAATCGCCATTATAAACTCTGCATGTGAACTGGCCTTGTGGCCGCTTGCTTATGCTCAGAATGCGTGGTGATCCTGAGATCCACCATGAGCTTTGCTTTGTTTGCTCCTCTTGACTGGTCTTGTTACCATTGTTCACTCTGGCTATCCCCCATTTCGCCTATGGGGGTGTGTCAAAACATATATGTTAACATATATCTATAGACTATATAGGTTCTAGCCTTAGGGGGTACATTCCCCATCTTGTCACTTTACTTGTACCACCCTCCCCAACCTAGTCGTCATCCATTCTTCTTGCCTCATCTTCTAACAGGATCTGCTCTACACACGAACAAGCAGCACTACTCGACCAGTTTGAAAAGAATCTGGCGATGCGCGTCGACATCACCACCAACCATGACGTGAAGCAGTTTCCGGTGCTCATCATCACTTACTCACCAGAAGCCATCCACCTCTTAGCGGCTAAGTATGCTGAAACTCTTGAAAAGAGGTTCAACATCTCCCTCGCACCACTCTCAATCCCTTACCGCACGCCTGGACCGAACCACAAACCCGACAACAAAGCCCTGTCCCCCGCTGGACTTCACACTAACCACCAGCAGCTGAGATACCTGCTCTTTGCTTCCGTCACCTGCAGGCCTAATCTCTCGTACATCGGGAGCCAGCTTTCTCAGTACTCTCACAAACCAACGGCTGAAAATCTCCTAGATCTTCAGCGCGCTCTGCAATTTTTCATCTCCACGGCCAACATTGGGCTCTGCTACTCCACACTCACCACCCTGTCCTGCAACCTCATCGGCTACGTTGACGCCGATCATGCTGCTAACCCTGACAATTGACAGTCTAAAACTGTGTTCCTGTTTCGCCTCGAGCCAACAGGACCCATCTCATGGAACTCGCGGAAGCAGGAACTGGTTGCCCTGTCATCTGCGGAAGCTGAATTTTGTCAGAATCCCAACCACTAGACCATGGGCTTGTTTAAGTAGCGGGTCAGTGCGCCCATAACCCCCCAGGCAACCGTGCCTGTAATCCTTCCCTAGGATCAATCGGGGATCACCAGTGGACCTCTGACAAATTTATCGCCGCAATAGCAGCAGTTCGTGAGGGGCTTTATTTACAGAAGCTCCTGCAGGAGGCGAAAATCTCAACTTCGCATACCTTTCGCCTGCACTTCGACAACCAGAGCGCGATCAGGATCGCGAACAAGCCAAAGATTCGTCAACCGCACCAAACACATTGCGATGCGGTACTTCTTCGTCAAAGACGAAGTTGACAAGGGCAAAGTTTTCTTGACCTATTTCCCGACGGATGACATGGCAGCTGACTTCCTCACGAAGCGACTGCCACGTCAGCAGTACCAGCACTGCTCCGAACTCAACAGAGTAGTCAAGAGGATCAAGACTTGCTACGGTCAGGAGTGAAGGGGGGTGTTACAAGTAGTAAATTGCGAAAAGCACTGTGCACTGTTGGATTTCGCAGTAATATGGGAATGTACCCATTGTTAAAATAAGGATTCTTGGATAGAATAAGCCAGCTAGAGTTGGTACATGGTGAATGTAGATGATAAGATTGATTAAAAGAGGAAATTACAAAACAATAACTAGATCTAGCTAGCCATGTACTCCAAGGGGTACATTTTTTTATTATAACTGTTTGACATGCATTTCTACAGTAACCCTGACTCTTGCTCTTCTCTTGTTATCGGGTCACTGCATGTAACTGTACAGACAGTTACACCTGTTACCATTCCTCGCATATAACCGTTCGGTCCAGATGGTCAACGGTCGCGACAGTTGACATTTGCGACCGATGACATTCCTGTTGATCCGATAGTGCTGCTGTTGTTGCTTCGGTAGTAGCACGTGCGGTACATGTGCACCTTCGGGAATGCTAATACCGTATTAATTCCCGCTTACTCCAACACCCCTTAGAGTACATGGCGAGTTCGGTCGTTTCGTATTCCGCTGTACTTTTATTTATACAAATGTATTTGCATGTTTTAAATTATTTCAGTCATTTTAAAACCACTCTGATTTAAGGTCACAAAACATCCGCTGCAACACTCAGTTTCTGCAAACCTTCCTGAGATAATCATACGCACGATCTACTTTCAGATCACAGCATACAGGAATGCATTCTCATACAATTTATATCGCAACAGATCATGCCATCCGTCTTGTTTGTTGACGATGGTGGGATGGTCGGACATGTTTATAGCTTCAACATGGAACGTTCGCAATCGGTTTAAGTTTTGAGCGATGTCATTCAAGAGTGTTTTTTGGTTTCTTTTGGGGCATTTACTTGAAGCGTGTACCAGGAAAAGTGCACTGGAAAAACATTTATATGTAGGGTTGCTACGCAACCCAAAAAAATCGCCCCCTAAAACGTGAAGCCAATTTTACAAGGTTTCCAAACCCCAGGAACTCGTCAGTGCAGTCGCCTATATGGGAGCATTGCTGTCTGGGGAAGTTTTCCCGCATGGCGCATCGGCTGGGGCAGCTGGGCTACCTGCGTGAGATGTGTGACTGATCCTTGATTTGATCCTTCCAGTTGGTGGATCCGTGCCGCCGTCGTTATCGCTGCCAGCTGCATCTCGGCGGTTGAGCTCCTCGGCTCTCTTTGACCCGACCGTTCCTGCCATCCACACTCGACAGTCGACGCACTACGCCATTGGAGTGGAATAGGAAGCGTCGTCGCGTCAGTTTTCGCATCCTCAACCGCAAGGCATCAACATGGTCACCGACTCGCGTCGCGTTGCATTCATCTGTCTCAGGCCGCGACATGCTCATTCCACCCGCCGACCTCCCCTCGAGCCCATGTGCTCCGAGCCTCAGACGACAGCGTCGAGTTTTCTTCGTACGGTTGCTTCCCGTCCGCCCGACAGTTATTCCAAGTATCCGCTGCACCTCTCTTTCCACGTGCGACTCGGTCAGCAGATATTTCCGCGCAATCAGAAACAGTGTTGTCGCTGCCATCCCCCCCAGGGTAGATCTTTCCTCGCATGGCGCGTGCATCGGTCCCCCCATCCTCTTTGATGCATGTCTTCCGCCGTGAGGACCGATGCACGCGCCATGCGCCATGCGCCATGCACTGCTCCCCGCTCCGCCAAACCCTGCCTCGAATCCCCCTGCGCGCCGCGCCTGGTGGGCCTCGCGCGACAGAAAGACGATCCACATGCCGCCGAGGGACCACACCATCCGCGCTCGCCCGCGCTCTTCTCGCAAAACGAGGGCGCGGGCGGGACGCACAGGCGGGCATTGCGTGGGGGGGATGGGGATGCGCGGAGCGGGGCACCCTCCGGTTGGCTCCAAGGTCCGCGGACCACGAGGCGACTCTTGAGTCGACTCAACCGGACTGCACCGCTCAAGAGTCGACTCAAGAGGCTCCTAGGTCCGCGGAATCTGAGGCGCCACGAGGGGGCAGCGGGCCGCGAGCGTTTCAGTATAATTCCGCGTGGCGTTGACCCGGCGGAGCGACCGCCGATGACCCTCGAGAGTCCCGGCCATGCCCTGGCACGCAGCGATCGTTATAGTTGATGCTCTCTCGCGCTGCTAGCACGAGTGCTGGCGAGATATTCCGTGCCCTGCGCTTGGGACCGCGACGTATATTGAAAGATCATAACCCGCAGACGCACGGGTAGCAGGCAGCGACCTGTGCGAGTGAGTGCTCGCATGTGCTACGATTCACCCTTTGAGCGTCTCTGCGGCGAATACTGAAGCAGTGCAGGCATCAAGGCATCGAGACATCAAGGTCGAGGAATGGAAGAATCCAGCTGACCGACTGGCCCTCTCTGGCCGCCAGTCTCTCCTCTCGCCGATGGCTCGTGGATTTAGATCCTTGGATCTTTGTTTGATTAGACTTGAATGCGCCTAGTAACGTAGTCGCATCCCCACAAAGCGGCACTCTGGTTAGCTAGCCCCGCGATTTCCTGAGGGGATTTACAATCCGCGCGTTGTGTAGACCAATCACAGCCCAGCGCGTTTGATTGGGTCGCCTAATGGGAGGCGACGCCACGAGGGACGATGACGCGTGCGACAGGGCCGCCGCCGCCGCCGCCGCCGCGGCAGAGGAGGACAGCAACAATAGTAACAGCAACAGCGGGTGTGGTGACGGCGAGGGTGAGGGCGACGGCGACAGCGGTGCGCCGGGCGATAACGAGCTGAAGAAGGTGCGGTGGTCTTAGTTACCACCGCCTGGCGTGGCTCAAATTCACCGCCTGGCGTGGCTCAAATTCACCGCCTGGCGTGGCTCAAATTCACCGCCTGTGCGCTACTGCTGGCAGCGCCACTCCACCGCCACCCCCTCGCGCTCAGGCCTTGAGCTCTTCCCCTGAATTCTCCTCCCGCTTACGCCCATACCCCCTCCCCTCGCCCATCCCCTTCCCCCCTCCCACCCCTTCTCCCCCCCCCCCAGGGGCTATGGACAGCCGAGGAGGACGCGGTGCTGATGGAGTGCGTGCAGCGCTTCCGCGAGGGCAACTGGACCACCATCGCGCAGCGCTCGGGGCTGGCGCGGTCGGGCAAGAGCTGCCGGCTGCGGTGGGTGAAGCACCTGAGCCCCGCCATCCGCCCCGGCCCGCTGAGCGAGGCGGAGCAGCGCCAGGTGATCGAGCTGCAGCGGCGGTACGGCAACAAGTGGGCGCTCATGGCGCAGCACATGCCGGGGCGGTCGGACAACGCGATCAAGAACTTCTGGAACTCGTACCGCAAGCGCATGCAGCGCCGCGTCAAGGCCGCTGCTGCCGCTGCACGGGATGGGGGGAGTGGAGGGGGAGGAGTGAGTGGGGGTGGCGCGGGTGAGGCGGATGGCGAGGCGGGGGAGGGGGAGGGGGAGGGGGAGGGAAGGGGGGAAGGGGAGACAGGGCAGGCAGCGCAGCAGGGTGAGAAGGAAGAGCAGGGGCTGGTGCGTGCTGGTCAATCCATGACCACACCTGCAGCAGTAGCAAAGGCAGTGGCAGCGGCGTCGGCGTCAGGATCAGCAGCAGCAGCAGCATCGCCTGTGTTCCTCGCCCGGTCGTCCACGCTGCCAGCGGCAGCAGCAGCAGCAGCAGCAGCAGCGGAGGTGAGTGTGGGCGCGCGGGTGTTCCCCAGAGCCGTCTCCCATGGGGCTGCGTATGCCACGAGCGGCAGCAGCAGTATCAACACCATGCACACATCGCCGCTGCACCCCTCGCCCCTCCAGCCCTCCCCGCCGCTGTTCCACTCACCCTCGCTGCCTGCTCTTGCCCTCGCAGCTCCCACGCCCCTCGCCTCCTTCCCCCACCTCAGAGCATCCGCCTCCTCCTCCTCGCTGCTCACCGTGCCTCGCTCGCTCGCCCCCACACCTCCTGGACTTACCCGCGCACACCCTGCTGCTGCTGTTGCCGCACCCCTTGTGGCGGCCGTACCGCCCATGCCTCGCCTCACACCTGTCCCTGCAGCAGTGCGGGGGGCGCACCAGTCCTCAGACTGCCACGTGGCAGGCGTGGCGGGGTCGCCGCTGCTGGACCAGCTCAGCGCGCTCAGGTGCATGGAGGAGGAGGAGCAGGGGGGGGGCGGGGGACCTGGCAGACCCGGGGCGGGCTCAACTGGGGCAGAGGTGAGGGGAGCTGAGGGAGAAGCATGCAGGCCGGCCTCTGCAGGCGGTGTGGTTCCTGGTGCTGCTGCTGGCGGGTTGCCTGACCACATCAACGGAGTCAACGGAGTGAATGGGTTTGCACGAGACAGCTCACAGCAGGTGCTGGGTGCTTCCCCCATGCGCCTGCCCCTTGCGCGCCTGCCGCCATACCAAGCCATGACAACACCCGCGTGCACACAGCACCCCATGGGAGGGGCGACCATGCGCAGAGCACTCTCCTTCTCCCCCGCCACTCCCCTCACCGTCCTGCCCGCCACCACCCCTCCGCGCTTCCCCACTATGCCTGCGCACACCGCCCTCACCACCGCTGCTCCCGTGAGCACGCTAGCACCATCTGCTGTGTCGCTACCAGCAGCCCTCATGCCCCGCCCCATGCCTCTACCTGTTCCTCTGCCCGGGGCCGCACCTGGGAGTGCCACTCCTTGGAGCAACGCAGTGGGAAGCAGCATGGGCCGGGGGCTGTGTGCGGGCAACCCACCGGTACCTGCCGCACAGGCAGGCGGCAGTGCGGGGCACGGGACGGTCAGGCCTGGGGGACCCACCCGCCCGCTCCTCATGCTGCCTGACGGCCACACACACGCTGCGCTGCTGCACACGCCCTCCCATGCGCTCGCCTGCTCTCAGGCGCCTGGCGGTGTGGCGGGGTGCGCTGAGGCTAAAGCCCTGTTGGGCCCTGCCGTGCTGCCACAAGGGGTTGCGTCGCCCTTGCTGCTGCCGCCACTGCATGAACCCCTGCAGCCGCAACCACAGCAGCTGCAGCAGCAGCAGCAGCAGCAGCAGCAGCAGCAGCAGCAGCAGCAGCAGCAGCAGCAGCAGCAGCAGCAGCAGCAGCAGCAGCAGCAGCAGCAGCAGCAGCAGCAGCAGCAGCAGCAGCAGCAGCAGCAGCAGCAGCAGCAACAGCAGCAGCAGCAGCAGCAGCAGCAGCAGCAGCAGCAGCAACAGCAACAGCAGCAGCAGCAACAGCAGCGGTGCGTTGCTGTGTCTCCCCTGTGTGGCAGCAGTGCACATGGTGTGCGGGACGTGGCTCTCCGGAAGGGTAGCAACCTGGCTTATAACGCGGATGGAACCCAGCCTCGCCCTTGTGACGCTTGGGAGTGTAACGAGGGAGATAACGTTGTGCAATCGGCTCAAGACCGCGGCACTGACTGCTGTGAGTACGGTGCACGCACGCTGGTGCTGCACGGAGGCACGGGGGAGGGGCGGAGCAGAGGGGGCGGCATGGAGTGGGAGGGAGCTGGAGGGGTGGAGGTGGAAGAAGGGAGAGCTGAGGAGAAGGGGGAGGAAGGGGAGTGGGAAGAGGGGATGGAGGGAGAGGAGGCGAGGGAGGCGGGGGCGAGGGAGGGTGGTGAGCTTCAACGCTTGTGGCTTCCACCGTATCTGGACACGCCGCAGAGCTCCTCCCCGTGCGGTTCAGTGAATCTGGACGCGGTGGGAGCGGGCTTTGATGCGGAGATACTCGTGGTGTTGGCTGATGAAGGCACGGGCGCACAGAGCGCAGGTGCACTGCCCGCTGCCACTGCTCCTCATGCCTCGTCTGTGGGGGCGGCTGCTAGTGCGGGTACCGCTGGTGGTGCCGCTGCTGCGGCGGCATCTGCCTGTGAGGAGAGGGGGCAGCAGCAGCCGCGCGGTGGGCAGGAGCAGGAGTTGGGCACACAGCAGCACGGGCAGCAGCAGCATGGGGGCGAGGTGGATGGGGAGGAGAGCCTGTCAGGCACGCTGTGCTCGCCCTCCACTGCTGCCTCGCCCGCTGCTGCGCCCTGCATGGGCGACCACACGCCCATCTCCAAGCGCTCCTCCCTCGCCTCGCACACGCCCCTGCGCAAGAGCACGCCTGTGTCTGCCCGGCGCCCGCTCTTCTGCGCGAGCATAGAGGAGGAGGAGGAGGGCGAGCAGGTGAAGGAGAAGCAGGAGCATGAGGAGTGGGGGCGTGAGTGGGAGTGTGTGGCAGCAGATGATGGTGATGCAGGTGGTGAGAAAGAGCGTGGAGGAGAGGAGGGCGGGCAGCAGGGCGGGCAGCAGGCGGCGCAAGGGTTGGCAGGGGAGTGCTTGGCGGCGGGTGTGTGGGCGTGCAGTGGGGACAGGGAGCGCAACACTGTGTCTCCCCTGCACCGCCACCTGTCAGTGGCCGTGGCTGTGGCTGACGCAGGTAGGGTGGGAGGGGGCATGGGGACTCAGGTAAAGGATGAGGTTGGCACGGAGATGGATGGGGATGGCAAGGCCAAGGCCGTGAGTGGGGAAGGACTTGCGGATATGGGAGGAGGGGGGCAGGGGAGGGGTGGGAGTTGTGAGAGGGAGTTGGAGAAGGGGTTGCAGGACGGAGTGGTGGAGGGGTCTCTGTCTGGGGGGTCTCTGTCTGGGGGGTCTCTGTTTGGGGGGCTGTGCTCGCCCGTGCCACTGCTGCCACACACTGCAGCAGCAGCAACGGCGGCGGTGGAGGAGGCTGCAGCGGAGGCTGCAGAAGAGAAAGGGGAAGCAGCAAGAGTGGAGGCAGCGGGGGTAATGCATCCTGTGATTGCTGCTGCTGGAGGCGCAACCACATCATTCGCAGCAGTGGCACCACCACCACCAGCGCCAGCAGCGCCATCGGCGTTCTTTCCAACCCGTCCGCACCTGCTGTGGTCGCCTGCTCGCTCGCCCCTCTTGCCCCTCTCACCCCTCTCCCCCACGCCGCGCTGCCTGCCGCCTGCTGTGTTCCCGGGCATGGGGAGTGTGGGTGCTGCTGACGGCATGGACGCCAGGGGGCGTGTGGGCAGGAAGAGGCCGCTGGGTGGGCTGCCAGCCGCATCATGCCCCGTGGGTAGCGCCGCTGGTGCTGCTGGTGCAGTGGGTGCAGATGGGGTGGATACCATGGGCAGGGTGGGCGGTAAGCGGCCCCTGGGGGACGTGTCAAGGCTGGGTGGCATGCGGCATGTGGGGAGTGTGGGAGGGATGAAGGGGCTGGGTGGCATGGGTCGCTTGGCGTGCGTGGATGCTGTGGGTAGGGCAACAGCTGGTGCGGACAGGGTGGGGCCCAGTGGGGTGGTAGGGGCAGTGAGGAGGGGGCAGGGCATGGGGACGGTGATGCGGAGGCGAGCACTGAGAGGCGCCTCTGCTGCCATCCTTCCCCTCCCTCTTGCTGCTGCTGCCCCTTTTTCTGCCGCTCCTTCACTTCCTGCCGTCCCTGCTGCTGCCGCAACTGTCCCTTCCTTTGCCCCTGCTGCTGCAACAACCACTGTTGCCGATGCTGATACAGCCGCTGAAGCTGCCACTGCCACTGCACCTTTTTTGCATGTGCCCAAAGAACCAGCAGAAGCAGCAGCAGCAGCAGAAGCAGCAGAAGCAGCAGAACCAGCAGAAGCAGCAGCAGCAGCAGAAGCAGCAGCCCAGCAACCGCCGCTGTTGCTGCCAACCAACCCCTCCTCGTCCCATCAACCGCCCGCTCTCAACCCCTCCCACACCACGGCCCCCGCCAGCACCCATCATCCCGCCCCTGCTCCTCCAGCAGCAGTCGCAGCAGCAGCACAAGCCTCGGAGCCGCCTCTGTCGCACCGGCGGCTGCAGCAGCTGCAGGAAGCGAGGCGCGTGTGGCAGGCCATCCTGGACAGCCCACGTGGCATGTGTGCCGCCCTCCGGGAGTGCATGCCGCCCGCCCTGCGCCAGGTCACTGCTGACGTCACCACGCCGCTGTTCCCGCTTCCTGCTGCTGACGCCATCATGCCCTGCGCTGACGTCACCAGCCCACTTGTGTTGGGCGAGATGAGGGAGAGAGGGGAGAGTGGGGGAATGGAGGGGGGAGGGGCTAGCGGGGAGGTGGGGAAGGGAGATGCGGATGGAGAGATGGTTGCTTTGGGGGACAGTGGGGGTGGGGGTGGTGATGTGGGGAGTGATGGCAGTGATGCGGGTGGCAGTGGGGGCGGCAACAGTGGTGGCGGTGGCAGTGAAGAGGCATGCGAGCGAGAGCTGGTGGATGGCATGAATCGCCTGCAGACGGGTCAGGCGGTGGAGGGCGAGGAGGGCGAGGAGGGTGGGGAGGAGGGGGAGGAGGGGGAGGAAGGGGGAGAAGAAGGGGAGGAGCGAGAGGAGGAGGTGGAGGAAGGGGAGGCGGAGGGTGTGGAGGCTGTAGGGGACTCGCATGACCTTGAGAGGGAAATGGGGGATGGCGGGCAGAATGGAGCACAGGGAGGGGGGTGTGAGGTGAATCAGGACGGTGGTGTGGCTGGGAGGGGTGGGGAGTGCAGCACACAGGCTCGGCGAATGGAGGTAGGGACATGTGAGGGGGGCAGTGGTGCGGGGGCCAGTGGTGGGGGGGGATTGCGGCAGCCAAGGAGTGAGGAGAGCATGGCAGTGGAGCAGACAGCACGGAGGGCGGCGCAGCAGCAGTGGGTGGTGGACGATGGGTTGACTGCGGATGGCAGTGCGCACAAGCGAGTGAGGGTCATGCAGGGTGGTGAGTGCAGGGCGCGAGAGCAGGGCTGTTGGGCGCACCCGGTGGAAGAAGAAAAAGGAAGCAACGAGGAAGCTGCTAGTGCCGGGGAGGAGTGCAGAGAGCAGGGGGTGCGGGTGAGCAAGGGAGGCAGCAGTAGCGGGCACAGCAAGGCGAGGCAGAGGAGGGGGTGCCGCAGCCAGCGACCCATGACCGTTGAGATCCACCGCCCGTTCATGCGTGTGACTCGTGTGGCGGGGAATGCAGGCCTGCAGGTGGAGGGGAGGAGCGTGAGCATGCAGGAGGCTGCAGGTGGCGTGGTGCGGGAGAATGAGCAGCAGCAGCAAGGGGAGGAAGAGGAGGCAGGGGTGCATGGCATGAGTGAGGAAGGAGGAGCAGACAGGGCAGGCGACCCGGCACTGCACAAGGGAATGTCCGAGCAGCAGCACGGGGAAAAGAACGGACAGCAGCAGCCGCAGCAGCAGAGCCCCCTGCTGTATCACTTCCACGGCTCATCCTTGTTCACCCCCACTCAAGCACCCCTCCTCACGCCCTCCCTCACCTCCGCCTTCACCCCCTCCTTCACCCCGCCCTTCTCCCACCCCCCTCCCCCCACCTCCCCCCACTTCGCCTCCCTGCTCGGCGCAACACCACCACCAGCCCACGGCAATCCAACAGGCGCAAATCCCTCAAAGGAGGGGAACATGGAGGGAAACCATGGCTTCGGACATGGGCACGAGGATGGAAGGGGGCATGTGCAATCGCATGGCCATGCGCCTGGGTCGGGATCAGGAGTGGGGTCAGGGGCGCTGCTAGCTGCAAGCCCGCGGTTTGAGAGTGGATGGGTGTGGGACATGAAGCTCGATGCTCTCTCACCAGCCGCTATGGCTTCCCACTAGTGCCCACACGATTTAATCTGTCTTGCCGTGAGCTGGTGTGCTGACGAATATTTATACTGTAAATTTGTGTGAATAATACGACAAGCTACCTAATGTATATGAAATGTATGTGATGCTTCTTTGTGCTAAAGGTTATTGTAAGGATTTACAAATCCTTACTGAGGCACTCGTTAGCGAGGTCATCCCGAGGGTCACGCGACGAACCTGTTCGGCCTATTTCGTCGGCCGAACCACTCCCCGAGTCTGCCTCCGCCCCAATCGCAACCATCACCGAGCCATATTCGCCCTGCCTCTTCGCCTAGCTAGGACTTCCCCTAATTAGGCCTCGTCACTTTGTCCATTCAGTATTGAATCCATTCTCGTTATTCGTTTTACTGCGCACTCTGCAAGTTCATTCATAACAGTGATGCACGGGGTTCTCAAATACCAGTGGTCAAGGTTGTATCTATCGCGTATGGTCGGGGTGTCGCTCGCGGAGTGCGCGAGTGGTGGCGCGGCGAGGCGAGGGACTACGACAGCCTCGAGTGATTCATGACAGGCAGGCTAGGACCGTTCCTCGGCTGCAATTCACTCTCCCCCAGAATTCTCTACGAGGCTGTACCTGCACCGCTCGCACGCCATGCGCGCGTCGGAATCGCGCCTGTCGTGCTTGCCAGCAGCGGCGCCACGGACGATGGCAGCTATCGTCCCAGCGGGCCCGAGCGGCCGCCGCTTCGAAGCGTCCTCGCCTCGCCGTTCGCGCATTCCCGCGCGGCCGCTTCGAGGCGCATTCCCGGGCCATGCGCCAGCAGGCGCAGCTCAGGGCAGCGCAGCGCCGCGCCGTGCGCGCGGCCCCGCAAGTCCGTCTCGTCCAGACGCCATTTGGCAGCCACTCACCCCTTCAACGCTTCAACCCACCCCTTCCTCGTCACCGCCACGCGCTACCTCGCCGTGCCCTCTGCCCGCACTGCTCTCCGCGCGACGTCTACGAGCCGCCGAGCGCGCCATCCGCCTGCCCGCCCAGACGGGCGGAAGCTGCGCCTCTGCGGTCAATCCAGCTGCTCCACGGCGTGCACTGCCATCCTTCTCACACGCTCTGCCGCTCTAAATCTCTTCATCTGACCACCAGGATACTCGCCCAGTCAGCACCGTTCTCCCTGCGCGCCTGCCTTGGCTCGCGCTGCACCGCACCTCCCCTCGCCTCCCTCGCCTTCGCTCTATCGGGAGAGCGGGCGCCACCACAGCCGTACGCCACCTGCAGAAACCCAGCGTGAACGTCCACAGGCGGCAGTCCGCGCAGCACGCGCGCACTGTATGCTAGTATCGCCGCCCTGCACGGCACCGTCGTCCGTTCCCCGCCATGGCGCGCGGTGCAACCGCAGCGGATAATGGCGGCAGTGGGAGATCGGCCGCTGCTGGCCGCCGCGCGGCGGCGCTGGTGATGGCGGTGAACGGACGGCGCGTGGCGGTGTGCGATGTGGATCCGCGCATGTCGCTCAGCGAGTTCCTCCGCTCCAGGACAACGTTCACCGGCACCAAGCTGGGCTGCGGGGAAGGTGCGCGCCCCTGGGCTGCTGTCGCGGTCGTGCATCGTGTGTGCCTTGCCCCCTTGCCCGCCCACGCAGCAGCGCGCACGTTGAGGACACCCAACAGCGCACACACACGTGCTGCGCCTGTCCCTCTGCTCGCCCATGGCCTCTCTCACGCGCACGTGCTGTCAATCCGATTTTTCGCCTTTTCCCTGCTTCCACCCACCCCTCCCCACCCCTGACAAGACATGCTCAGGTGGCTGCGGAGCATGTGCGGTGATGGTGGCGCGCTACGACCCTCTCACCCACACCATCCACGACCGCTCGCTCAATGCCTGCCTGCTGCCACCCATCCTTTTTCCTGCTTCCACCTACCCATCCCCGCCGTCATCAGGGGGGTGCGGGGCATGTGCAGTGATGGTGGCGCGCTACAACCCGCTCACCCACACCACCGACGAGCGCTCTCTCAATGCCTGCCTGCTGCCGCTCGCCTCGCTGCACCTCGCCGCCATCACTCTGCCTCTCTCCGACGCCAACGCATGCGGAGGAGGTCCCCCCGGGAAGCGGCGACGGTGTGGGCACATCCCAGGGTTCATCACAGCGTGCGGCCATGGGTGGGCCAAGTGACGGCACATCTCTCCACGTGGCTTCACAGCAGCGGGACCCGCACAGCTGTTACCAGCACGGGCGGGCGGTGCAGCAGCGGCTGGCGGGGTTCCACGCATCGCAGTGTGGCTTCTGCACGCCCGGTGTCGCCATCGCGCTCTATGCCGCCCTCCGCCGCCACCGCTCCCCTGCCGCTGCTGAGGTTGATCGAAAAGGGGGGGTTATTGAGGCTGTATCTGCTGCTCCTGTGGCAGCGGGTGGTGGAGTGGAGGTGGTGGAGGGGCTGTCAGAGGAGGAGGCGGAGCAGGCGATGGCGGGCAACCTGTGTCGCTGCACGGGGTACCGCCCCATCCTTGACGCCTGCAAGAGCTTTGCTGGTCCCGCTAGCAGCGCAGGTGCAGATACAGTGGGTGGAGCAGCGGGGCTGATGGATCTGGAGGAGCTGGGGTCGTTCAGGTCGGTCCGTGGCAGCGGGGCTGATGAACTCTGAGTTGTACGTTCAGATCTTAATCAAATTTTCAAGGGTTATTCTTTTTTCCTTAGTTGACTATCGTCCCTCTGCTAAAGGCGACCCTGCCTACTGCTGCCCTTCTTCATGAGCACAGATCCGTGGGTGGTGGGGCTCAGCGAGTTCGCCGCTGCTGCATCAGCTGAGGCGCCAGCACAGGGACGTGCAGTGGCGCAGCGGGGCACCAAGTGCAGCGCTGAGGGCAGCGGGGTGTGCAGTGCTGAGGGCAGCGGGGTGTGCAGCGCGCGTGGCAAGCCCCTGCCCCTCTACAACCCCCTCTGCGACCCGCCCTTCCCCGCATGGCTCAAGCTGGAAGCAAAGCAGCAGGCCAGCCGGTGGCAGGAGCGCGCAGGGAGGGGGGTGAACGGCGAGGGAGGGGAGATGCTGGTGTGGGAGCACTGGGAGGAAGCAGGGGTGGGGGGAGAAGGTGGGTTGTGGGGAGAGTGGGGGTTGGAGGGAGAAGTGGACGTGGCAGGTGACGGTAGTGATGGTGACGGGGGCAGCAGTGCAGGAGCTAGTGCGGAGGAGGCAGGGGGGCAGCCGGGGAAGGGGTGGAGGAGAGGGAGCAGGAAGGTGATGTGGGTGGCGCCCAGGAGTCTAGAGGAGCTGAGAATGGTGCTGCTGAAGTCAAGGCACGGAGGGAGCAGTGATGAGGGGATGGGAACAGGCGAGGAGGGAGGAGCAGGCGGGAGCAGCAGCAAGGAGGAGCAAAGAGCAGGAGGATCAGGCGCTATCCCTCGGGGCGAGTGTGAGAGTGAGTGGGGCGAGGTGCGGCTGGTGGCGGGCAGCACGGCAGCAGGTGTGTATCCTGACCTGGCACGCTGTGACTCCATGGCGCATGTCACTCTCGTGGACGTCAAGGGACTGCCGGAGTTGCAGCACGTGGCGTGGGAGGAGGGGCCTGCTGGGGAGGACGGTGAGGGGGGTGAGAGGGGAGGGGGTGGAGAGGGTGGAGAGGGTGGAGAGGGTGGAGAGGGTGAAGCAGCAGGGAAGGAGCGTGTTATGGGGATTAGGTTCGGTGCGGCTGTGACTCTATCGGATGTGATTGCAGTGCTGGAGGCCGTGGCGAGGAAGGTTGCCGCTGGTGGCTCGGCTGCTGCAGACTACAGAGGCCCTGTCATGCACGGCTGGGATGACGCCAACGGGACAGCATCACCACCAGCAGTGGCGGCGGCGGCGGCAGTTTTCTCGCGAGTAGCAGCCCATGTGAGGAGGGTGGCGGGGCCGCATGTGCGCAACGCTGCCAGCATCGGCGGCAACCTTGTGCTGGCTGCGTCTCGCCGCGCCTTCCCCTCCGATGTTGCCACTCTGCTGCTGGCGCTCCATGCCTCTGTGCGCACCGCCACTCCCTCTCCCGGTCCCCCCGCCTCTGCATCTCTCACAGGCAGCACAGCACGCAGCGATGGGTGGGTGTGGGAGGATCTCCCACTTGAGGCGTTTCTTCACCGCTCCCGACTCCCTCCCACCATTCTCCTGCACTCTGTCTTCCTGCCCTGCCCCACGCCCTCTCCCCCCCCTCCCACCTCGCCCTCCTCTACCACTCCTCAGCTCGTGTTTGACTCCTTCCGTGCCTCTGCCTGCCCCTCTGGCAACGCCTATGCCTATGTCAACGCTGCCTTCCTCCTCCACATCGCCCCCTCCTCCATTCCACCACCCTCCGCCTCCTCCACCGCCTCCTCCACTGTAACCTCCTCTCCCCATCCCCCGGCCCCCATCATCCAGTCCGCCCGCCTGGTCTTTGGCGCCTTCAACGGTCCGCACGCCATCAGAGCCCGCCGCGCCGAGGCCTGTCTGCTGGCACCCAATGGTGTGCTGACACCTGGCAGCGTGCTGGCGGCGGTGAGGGCAGTACGGGAGGAGGTGGTGCCCGGTGAGGGCACGCGGTGGGCGCAGTACCGCGTGGAGGCGGCCGTGGGGTTCCTCTTCTCCTTCCTCTCGCGCCTCCTGCCCCACACCCACCTGCCCCACACCACCACCCTGCCCCACACCACCACCCTGCCACGCACCGACCTGCCCCACACCACCACCCTGCCCCACACCACCACCCTGCCCCACACCCACCTGCCCCACACCACCACCCTGCCCCACACCACCACCCTGCCCCACACCACCACCCTGCCCCACACCACCACCCTGCCACGCACCGACCTGCCCCACACCACCACCCTGCCCCACACCACCACCCTGCCCCACACCACCACCCTGCCCCACACCACCACCCTGCCACGCACCGACCTGCCCCACACCACCACCCTGCCCCACACCACCACCCTGCCCCACACCACCACCCTGCCCCACACCACCACCCTGCCCCACACCACCACCCTGCCCCACACCACCACCCTGCCACGCACCGACCTGCCCCACACCACCACCCTGCCCCACACCACCACCCTGCCCCACACCACCACCCTGCCCCACACCACCACCCTGCCACGGACCGACCTGCCCCACACCACCACCCCGCCACGGACCGACCTGCCCCACACCACCACCCTGCCACGCACCGACCTGCCCCACACCACCACCCTGCCACGGACCGACCTGCCCCACACCACCACCCTGCCACGCACCGACCTGCCCCACACCACCACCCTGCCACGGACCGACCTGCCCCACACCACCACCCTGCCACGGACCGACCTGCCCCACACCACCACCCTGCCACGGACCGACCTGCCCCACACCACCACCCTGCCACGGACCGACCTGCCCCACACCACCACCCTGCCACGGACCGACCTGCCCCACACCACCACCCTGCCACGGACCGACCTGCCCCACACCACCACCCTGCCACGGACCGACCTGCCCCACACCACCACCCTGCCACGGACCGACCTGCCCCACACCACCACCCTGCCACGGACCGACCTGCCCCACACCACCACCCTGCCACGCACCGACCTGCCCCACACCACCACCCTGCCACGGACCGACCTGCCCCACACCACCACCCTGCCACGGACCGACCTGCCCCACACCACCACCCTGCCACGGACCGACCTGCCCCACACCACCACCCTGCCACGGACCGACCTGCCCCACACCACCACCCTGCCACGGACCGACCTGCCCCACACCACCACCCTGCCACGGACCGACCTGCCCCACACCACCACCCTGCCACGGACCGACCTGCCCCACACCACCACCCTGCCACGCACCGACCTGCCCCACACCACCACCCTGCCACGCACCGACCTGCCCCACACCACCACCCTGCCACGGACCGACCTGCCCCACACCACCACCCTGCCACGGACCGACCTGCCCCACACCACCACCCTGCCACGGACCGACCTGCCCCACACCACCACCCTGCCACGGACCGACCTGCCCCACACCACCACCCTGCCACGGACCGACCTGCCCCACACCACCACCCTGCCACGGACCGACCTGCCCCACACCACCCTTCCTCACACCACCTTGCCTCAGGCGGACCTGCCAGGGAAGAGCACAGGGAATGGGGATGGCGCAGTGGGTGCCAGCAACACGCGCTGCCCTGAGGAGGCTCACGGCGCTGCTGCAGGGGCTGAGAGCAGTGATGGGGCGCATGGCAGCAGCAGGCAGCAGCACGAGGTGATGAGGGGCCGGCAGGTGTTGTGTTGTGCGTCACCACGGACGTCGCTCCTCTCGCCCTGCCGCTGCCCAAGCTGGGTGCCGACCTGCAGGCCACAGGTACATGGCATGGCCCCTGTGCCTCTCTTCATCGCTTGTGCCTGCCCTGTATCTCCCTCCACCTCCTTGCGTTCTTCCCAAGCGCCATCCGCACCTGTCTGCTCCCGCCCATTCGCATCCCTTCCTCGCCCCAGCCTCACGCCACACTCAACGCACACACTCTCTCACCCCCCTCTCTCCCATTCGCCCTCTCCCCTTTCTCTCTGCCTCCTCTCCCTCCTTTCCCTCCCCTCCCCATCAGGCCACGCCAGGTACGTGGACGACATGCCAGCGCCAGCCGCGTGTCTCTACGCCGCCTTTGCAGTGGCCACGCACCCCTGTGCTCGCATCACCGCGCGCTGCTACAGCGCTGCACTCGCCTCCCCGGGAGTGGTGGCGGTGCTGGACGCCTCGCACCTGCCGCCCGGGGGGGCCAACGTGGCCTCGCTGCTTCTGGGGGCGGCGGACACGCTGTTTGCTCACGACAGCACGGAGTTTCATGGCCAACCTGTGGCCCTCGTGGTGAGTGCTGGGCGCCATAAGGGGCCCTGCTGGGTGGTGGGTGGTGGGTGACAGGTGACGGACAAGGGGTATTGGAGGGGCGCTGGGACAAAGGGGGGTCTACATGGCGCTATGAACATTGAACCCCGCTCCCTGCTCTCTCATCGCTTTTCCTCCTTTGCGAGTTCAACGACTCACCATCTCAACCATTCTTCTTGCCACTTCCTTTCCACGTTTTCCTACCCTCCCTCTTCACCAATGACACCCAACCCAACCCTACCGTGAATCGTGAATCATCCGCCAGGTGGCAGACTCATACCGCCACGCACAGGAGGGCGCACGCAAGGTGCACTGCTCCTACCACCCCTTTCCTCTGCCTGCCGCATCGCAACCAGCAGCAGCAGCAGGAGCAGCATCAGCAGCAGAAGAAGCATCAGCAAGAGCAAGAGCAGCAGGGTCAGCAGAAGAAGCTGTATCAGCAGATGCATCCAGTGCAGGCCGGGGCAGGCGGGGTCCCCTTGTGACAACAGAGCAGGCGGAGGCAGAGGGCGCCTTCCTCCCTCTCCCCCCCGCCTTCCTCAACTGCCTGCCTCGTCGAGGAAATTTCCAGGAAGCTTTTGACAAGAGCCCGTTGAAGATCAGCGGAGAGGTGAGGATGGCACGCCTCATGCGGTGAGGATGGCACGCCTCATGCGGTGAGGATGGCACGCCTCATGCGGTGAGGATGGCACGCCTCATGCGGTGAGGATGGCACGCCTCATGCGGTGAGGATGGCACGCCTCATGCGGCGAGGATGGCACGCCTCATGCGGTGAGGATGGCACGCCTCATGCGGTGAGGATGGCACGCCTCATGCGGTGAGGATGGCACGCCTCATGCGGAAGCAAGCAACCATGCTGAGAGAGAGGCGGGCGATGGTGAGAGCTGGGCGATAGCGGCATGGGGAGAGCTCCATGTGTGGACCCATTCCTCCCCTCTCTGCTCTCCCCTCCCCTCCCTTGCATGCACTTCCCTTCCCTCCTCTCCCCTCCCCTTTCCTCCCCTACCTTCCGCTCCCCTCCCCTCCCCTCCCTTCTTCCCCCCTCCACTTCCCTTCGGCCCACCCATCCCACCCCCCCACACCCCCCATGCGCCCCCAGGTGCGGTCGGGCTCACAGCAGCATTTCTACTTGGAGCCGCAGGCAGCGCTGGCGATACCAGACGAGGGGGGCAGCATGACGGTGCACAGCGCCACGCAGAGCCCCGAGCACACGCAGCAGGCCGTGGCCCTCGCCCTGGGCCTGCCCCTCTCCTGCGTGCGCGTCGTCACCCGCCGGCTGGGTGGCGCGTTCGGTGGCAAGACGGTTCAGGCCAGCCGTGTTAGTGTGATGGGGAGCGGGGTGGGGCTGGGACGGGGATGGGGAGCGGGTGGGGATGGAAAAGGGATGGGGATGGGGAGGGGACGGGTGTGGGGGTGGGCTTGTGATGTGAGGTGACGGAAAGGGGTTGGTGTAGGGGGGTCGTATGAAGATTGAGGGGGGTTTCAGTGGGAACTCAGAGGGGATTGGAATGGGTGCTGGATGAGATCTGAGGGGTGCTGGATGAGATCTGAGGGGTTGTTGCTGAATGAAGGCACGACTTGCAAATGCTGGATCTGGCAGAAATCTCTCCTGCTATCACCATGTTTGATACAGGCACACACACAGACAAACATGCGACTCGCCCCACTCTCCGTGCCCACTGTTCCCACGTTCTTTCCTCTTCCTACTCCACTTTGCTAACCACTCACCCCCTTCCCCTACCAATCCTCCCCCACCAACTCCCCCCTCCCGCCCCCTCCCCCTTCCTTACCACCAGGTGGCAGTGGCGTGTGCGCTGGCAGCGCAGCGACTGCAGCGACCCGTGCGCATGGCCTTGGACCGCAAGGCCGACACGGCGCTCACAGGCGGGCGGCACGAGGGGCGCGCGCGGTACGACGTGGGGTGTGACGGCACGGGGCACGTGCACGCACTGCGCGTGCGGGCGGTGCTGAACGGCGGCAGCAGCGCCAGCATCAGCTGCTGGCTGGCCGCTAACTACGGGCCGGCTCTGGTGCAGTACGCGTGGGGGGCACTGGAGATCGACTTCAAAGTGGTCAGGTGCGGTGGTGGGGGAGGGAGTGTGGTGGAGATGGGAGGATGGTGGGTTGTGTGGAAGAGGGGAAGGGAGGGGTGGCGATGGGAGGGATTGGGAGGAGATGGGTGGGAGGCTGAGGTTTGTTGGTGAAGGTGGAGGTTGAGGAATGGGTGCGTTAGCTGAGGATTGATCACGGAGTCCTGTGTTACTCTGAGGATTGATCACGGAGTCCTGTGTTACTCTGAGGATTGATCACAGAGTCCTGTGTTACTTTGAGGATTGATCACAGAGTCCTGTGTTACTTTGAGGATTGATCACAGAGTCCTGTGTTACTCTGAGGATTGATCACAGAGTCCTGTGTTACTCTGACATGGCCACGCATTGCTCACTCCATTCTCAATATACGTCCTCCTCACTTGCACTGTCATCTCCCTCGCTGCCATGCCCATGCCTCCCCTCCTCTAGCTCCCACCTTCTCTCTCGTTTCATCTCCTCTCCTCTCTCCCTCATAACTTACACCACGTTTTGTCCGTTTCGTCATATGAGTGCATTGAACCTTTCATGTTTTTTCGCACTCTCCCTACCTGCCCCCGCCGCCCTTAACGATGGATCTGCCCACATGCTGGTGAGGGCGCCAGGCGAGGTGCGGGCCAGGCCATGAGGTGCCGTGCTGTGCCGTGCCGTGCCGTGCCGTGCCGTGCCGTGCCGTGCCGTGCCGTGCCGTGCCGTGCCGTGTCGTGCCGGTTTGTGGAGAGTGTCTTGGAGCGGGCAGCCACCTCTCGTGCCGTGCTCTCCCTCACCTCACCCCCCCTCCCTCATCGCACTCCTCCTCCCTGACCGCACTCCCCCTCCCTGACCGCACTCCCCCTCCCTGACCGCACTCCCCCTCCCTGACCGCACTCCCCCTCCCTGACCGCACTCCCCCTCCCTGACCGCACTCCCCCTCCCTGACCGCACTCCTCCTCCCTGACCGCACTCCCCCTCCCTGACCGCACTCCCCCGCCTCTGCTGCCCCTCAGGACGGACCTACCGACGCGCAGCCCAGTGAGGGCGCCAGGCGAGGTGCAGGCGGTGGTGGTGGCGGAGAGCGTGATGGACCACGTCGCTGCTGCCCTGGGGCTGCCCCCCCTGCTCGTGCGTGAGCGCAACCTTATCACCACCCACGCCCTCCGTGACTTCTTCCCTTCTGCCTTCCCCCCTCCTCCTCCTCCGCCTGCTCCTGCTCCTGCAAATCCTGCTGCTCCTGCTGCTGCCAATTCTCCTGCTCCTGCTGCTGCTGCCACACCCGCTGCAGCAGAGGGGGAGGATAAGGAGGAGGGGGAGGAGGATGAGGGAGCGATAGCACAGCGGGTGTGGAGGGAGGCGAAGGCCCTTGCGGGCTACACCGAGCGCGCAGCAGCGGTAGAGGCATTCAACACGGTACACGTGTGGCGCAAGCGGGGCGTGGCCATGGCGCCGGCACTCTACCACGTGGCGCTGCTCGCCAAGCCCGTACGCATGACGGTGTTTGGCGACGGGTCGGTGGTGGTGGAGGCGGGCGGCGTGGAGATGGGGCAGGGGCTCTCCACCAAGCTGCGCCAGGCCGCTGCCCTCGGCCTCAACGCCCTCTGGGGCACCACTGCTACCGGCACAGCAGATGCTGGTATCAGCAGTAACAACCGGAGTGGGAGCGGGACTGACAGCGGCAACTGCAGCAGCGGTGGCAGCAGTGGTGGTGGCAGCGGAAGCAGCAGCAAGGTATCGGAACCGTGGGGGGTGGAGGTGTGGCGAATCAGAGTGGTGGAGAACGACAGCCTGTCGATGGGCAATGCGGGAATGACGGCTGCCAGCTCCACTTCTGAAGCCTCCTGTGCCGCCGTGCTGCTCGCCTGCCAAAAGCTGCTGCCCACGCTGCTCACCGCCAAGGCTGCAGCCGAGCAGGCCAAGGCATGCCAGCGGGTGAAGCGGGATAGCGGACTTATTAAAGGGGAGTCACGAATAGGAGAAGATGATGTGGCGGTGGAGGAGGATGACGTGGCGAGGTGGGAGGAGGTGGCAGCGCAGGCCAAGGCCATGGATGGGAGGTGAGACAGGTTCAAGTTGCGCGTGTCGAGAAGCACCTGATCTCCGACTGCTACTGAATGATCACGTCGCTGGCGATCGGTATACTGCTTCTGGGAGTTCTGCATCGTGGTGAGACGTCGCTAAGTCTTCTCCCATAGCTGATGCATGGTGGTGACGAAGTCATGTGTGGCTTGGACATGTGCCGGTGTGGTTGGTTGCTGGGGTGTAAGTGGTTCCCGTCCATAACACAGGAAGAAAGGGGTTTTCCCTGTGGCCGCATGTGAGGCGTCGCTGTAAGCGAACTCTAGGGTCGGTAACTGTGTGTCCCAGTGGCTGACGTCGTCTTTGCAAGCTGTGCGAAGTAACTGTTCAACCACTTAATTGAGTCGCTCTGTGTGACCGTTAATCTGGGGGTGGTATGCTGAAGACATTGCAAGACTTGTCCCCAACAGTCCAATGAGCTCCTTCTAGACCTTTCTCATGAATTTGGGGTCTCTGTCTGAGATGAGTGTAGCGGGGATGCCGTGGATGGTGATGATGCGGTCGAAGAAGAGTCGAACAGTTGCTTCAGCTATAGTTGTGGCGTTGGTCGGAATGAAGTGACCCATTTTGGAGAACTTATCGATCAATACAAGGATGGAATCGTGCCCCCGTGAGGTCGAAGGAAGTCCTGTGATGAAGTCGAGATTATCGACCTGCCATGGCTGCTCCGGTATGGGTAGAGGCTGAACGCTTCCTTACCGCCAAGTCTTTCTCCCACTGTAACAGCTTCTTAGTCTGTGCTGTAGTGATTTCTGTGTCCACGGAATACCCATGTTGTTATAGACCCTTTAGCAAAGGGTTCATCCCGTCGAGCTGGATGCCTGCTACTCGACCGGAGCGGCTCAACGCGATGTCCTGCTGCGACGTAAAATTCGCACTTCTCATATTTTGTCGGCTTCTGCGTCGCGTCGACCTTGTCGATATCCATCGGGTCGGCGATCGTGGGTGGTGCCGATCGCTCCGTGCCGAATGATCTTTTCGGAACATGGCGTCGTGTCTTGGGTTGACCTCGTGTCAGCGCATCGAATCTCTCTGCTGCACACACCATATCGCGGTAGTTGTTGTAGTTCGCGGCAATCACCTGTCGGCAGACTTCCATCTTTAGCCCCTTAGTATACGCTTGTATTTTTTCCCCTTCGATCAGGTCGGTAATCTGGTTGAAGAGGTTTTCCATCTGCTGCGTGTACTGTGTTACACTGCCGTACTGTTTATGCCGATGAATCTGGTGCCGCGCCATGTAGCTGGAGTTGATTGGTTCGAAACGTTGAGTTAAAGCTGCCCGAAACTGCGTCCATGACCCCTCGCCTTGGACCTCATTACTGTTGTAAATCCACTCAAGCACCGGGCCTCGCAACAGTGTCGTTGCGAGCTGAATCCGCATTGCATCGTGTGTCAGGGTCGTACAGCCAACGGCCTCGAAGTAAATTTCGAGGGTCGCAATGAATCGACGGACGTCTGTGTCTCTTGCATTCGGATTAAACGTTTCCGGTAGCCTTGGACGTGCCGCCTCAAGATTCATTGTAGCCGCTGCCGCTGCTGCTGGGTGAAGTGTCGGTGTTGCCACTGCTGCTGCTGCTGGCGTCGCTACTACGTTCGCTGCTGCCGTGGCGGCTGCCGACTAGTTCTCGAGAAGCTCCTCTATTCGTTGGAGTGCCGCTCGCGTCTGGTCCATGTGGGTGTGTAACTCCGTAATTTTTTATACGAAATTATCACCATTTTCCTCCATTTGGCGATTTACAGGAAGATGTGCGATGAAAATAAATGAATTCTATGCGCTAGTCGACTTACTGCGAGTCGAATCGACTGTAAAAATGACGAGCGCTGAATCTGTAAATCACGTAATTCCCCCTTAGTCGAAATTCGCGTCCGATCTCGGCCGTTGAGAAGAAATTTGATCCGACGCTCCAAATTCCAACGTTTTGGGGCGAAATTCTCAGGGCCGTTGAGATTCGAATCGATCTGACGGTCGAAATTCCAACTTTTTCGCCACTGGACCTGAGGTGTTCGAAAACCGGTTCGAGAGGGACGTAGCGCGGAACTGGTTTACGTACCCGAAATCGGCGCTTTCCGTCGTCACCCCCGCGGGTTTAAAAACTAGGTTTTAGTGGTCGAAAAACTTCGCGTGCAAACAGGCTCTGATTACCAAGTGTGAGGATCTAAGATCGAGCTCAGAAAAGAGAGTTGTAATTGAATGATTCACCTGGGTACAATACGAGGCTATATATAGTCTCGACACAAGGCCAGTTACCCAGGTGTTGCGCGAATGTTCTGAGGGTCGCGAAGCGTCCCGAACAGAACATTCCCGAACTCAGTAGAAAGCAATTCGGTGGAAACCGAATAGACTTGAGTTCGGTACACGTAACCTGGTTTGGTGCTATAACTATAATAAAATATAGGAATGCACCTAACCTAGGAAATCAAGCATATCTATGCATAATAAATAAAACCCAAGCTAGTAATAGCATAAGAAAGTCTAGGCAAGCTAGCAAAGCTAGCATAAGCCGTTGTACTCTCACACTGGTGAACTTCAAGCCAAGATAGCGGTGCAGTTCACCCAGGTCAGTCCACGTCTGTCTTTTCTACAGTTCGGACATCACCTCAGCCAGAACAAACCTGCCTGCTGTAGCGAAGACCAATTTGTCGACGTAGACCAGGATGAAGAACGGAATGGAGCCTCTGCGGACAAACAGTGATGGGTCGGCGGACAAAGGGCGAAAACCGAGGTCAGCCAAAATGATGCGTAGCATGTTGTGTCACTCAGGGGGTGCTTGGCGGAGACCGTAGACTAGTCATCTCAGGCTCCACTGGGTCCATGGGGGGAAAGTGCCAGTGAAGCTAGGAGGATGACGCAGCCAGATCTCCTTGTGTAAGGGGCTCTGGAGAAAGGCAGTAGAGAAGTTGAAGGAGTGCAGCTCGTAGTCTCGCTGTGCTGCTACGTGAAGTAACACCCGAACAGTAGTCATCTTCGGGGTCGGGCGAAGGTCCGAAAGATATCAACTCCCTCACGCTGACTGAAGCCCCTGGACACGTAGCGTGCCTTGAAGACGGCTAGTTCACCTTAAAGATCCACAGCCGTCGACTGCGTTCGCCTTGGGAGGGGGAACTGCATTGAGGTAGGTGCCTGTGGATCTCCAAGACGCCATCTTTGAGTTTATGACCACTTTCCACTAAGAGTCCCACTGCCCTGACACTGCCAAACGGTACGTGCGAAGGCTCGGAATGTCAAGGGCTCGGAATGTCAAGGGCGTCGGGGTCTCCCTTAGGGAAAAGCATCATGGCACAAAGAGAGGGAGAAGCAGCTGCCAAGAACTTCACCTCAAACTGGTTGTCCTCCAGGATGTCACAGCCAAGGACAAACTCACCCCAGGTGGACAGAGGACAGGTAGGAGGAGCAGCCACCACGCGGATGGCACAGTCAAGGCAGTGGATTGTAGCAAAGTCAGAGACAGCAGCAGTAAGAGCCGAGACAGACGACGGAGAGGCACGAGGGTCGGTGACAAGAGAGGCGAGAACCACGTGTGACAATAGGGTGAGCAGCAAAGTAGTAGTATGTGATAGGGTGAGAGGAGACAGTGAGAGACGACTTACGAGGTGGCTGGAAAACAGATACAGGCGGAGCATGGTGAGGACTAGAACAAAACAAGACAGTGCGGAGGTCGTCAAAATGAGACGAGGGACGAGCACGCTGAAAACAACGAGTGGTCCGGTCTGCGGGACAACAGGAGGAGGTGACCGTGACCAAGGAGGAGAGAGAACAGTTGGAGCTGAGTCAGGAGGAGGAAATGTAGGACCATACGCAGTAGGAGACTCTGGGTGGACAGGAGAGGAGGGAAGACCAAGGGCCCAAAGGCTACTCACTAGTGGGATCAGCTGCTACAAAAGTGGCGGCTGCCGCGACTGCTGCTGCTGCTGCCGCGACTGCTGCTGCTGCTGCCGCCGCCGCTGCTGCTGCTGCTGCTGGCGCTGCTGCTGCTGTTGCTGCTACTGCTGCTGCTGCTGCTGCTGTTGTTGCTGCTGCTGCTGCTGCTGCTGCTTCTACTGCTATAAACCTTTGTATGTCTTAGTTATAGTCATTTCTGTCATCTAACATTCACTCTGACATTTGCCATTAATAATTTCAACTACAAATTACCCTGCGGTTAGTCCTGAGCAAGATTCCTAACCAAGTCCCATGTGGGATTATAAAAGTTGTGACAAATTATTGATGCGCTACCCCTTACAAAACCAAGATTCTTGCACCGTAGAAAAGGAGGATGAGGATTAGAATGTATTTATAATTAGATTTCATGGTCACAGCTCGGATAAATGTAGTACAATTCTGGTTGTTTGTGGAAATGCGTAGCTCATTTAATATAGTGTATAGTGGTAAGTAATATATGAATTCGAATTTGGTTATGTAGTAGAGAATCTAATCTCTTCTCAAAAGAGTATAACGAAAGTTTACTTGGCCTAGCATTCGTGCGCTACTTGTTTTACCCGGCCTTACCCTGCAATGCCGGGTGCCACTCGGCCCTGCAATCTATGGACAGAGGACGCGTCACTTTCCAACATGCGGTGGACGAACCTCTCTCGCCTGTACAGAAAGCACCAATCGCAAGCGATCGGAACGGTGTTCGTGGGTACTAGCGTCAATTTCGTGACAGCGTCGATTTCGTCGGTATAGCGTCGATCTCGTCGGTACTGCGTCGGTTTTGCCGGTACGCCGCTGATTTTGTCGGTATAGCGTCGATTTTGTCGGTACAGCGTCGATCTTGTTTATCGTTGACAAATCACAATGGGTCTGCAGTCGTCAAAGGTCAACGCCACTAGTACTACTCATGAGGCACAAGCGAAAACCACCACACCGCGCTGGGTGTGGCCCATGAGTGCCACCCCGTTGGCGGCATGGCGTGCCTGATCCCTCAATCACAGCCGAAGCGGATAAAAAGGAGGGACTGCGCGTAGTAGCCGCAGCCATTACAACTGAAACTGTTTCGTCTCAA